TAGATGCATGCCTGGATTTAATTACATCTAAAAATAGATGCCAACTCCTGTGATCTCTTTATTTTCTCAGGCTATTGCTGTTAACTTGAGTTATCCAAGAGGAACTGTAAAACACTTTGCTGTTGATGGTGATGTGAATAGTGCCCTTAGCGCAGTTGATCTTGTGATATATGGATCCTTTCTTGAGGAGCAGTCTTTTCCTGAAATTTTGGTGAAAGCCATGTCCATAGGAAAACCCATCATAGCCCCAGATCTCTCCATGATCGGGAAATATGTAAGCCTTAGTTATTTTTTATATTTAGTCTTTATGCACAAACAGATTGAATTCACGAAGTACATTGATTTAAGTGGATGATTTGAAAGATGATCTCGCATTCCTGAGTGTTGTCAGCTCAACTAGCCTATCACCATCACTTAGAGTGGATCACTAGCCTTTCTGTTTTTTACTGCCTTTTCAGCTCTATCAAGACTCAATTTTCTTGATGAATAAGAACTCTTATTTCAATGGGGCTTACTCATAGCCTAAACCTGAGTTCTTATAAGGCTTATTTTGATCCTTGTATTTGTATGAATAGATTGCCTAACCTATTCTGATCCTTGTGCATGTATGAATTAGATTGCCTCCCTTTACCAGGGCAATAACTTCTTATTTATTTGCCCAATTTGTATATCTTTATCTAATCTTACAAGCCATTCATCTCAATATCCCCATATAGGTTTTGCTCATTTCTTGTCATCACATCAGGAACATTCTTTTATAGTTCATGTTGTTGCCTCATTAAGACTAATATTCTGTTTTGTGAATGGCTTCTTCAAATCAATTTGCACTGAGACATAATTTTTGTCCAATTCGATATATAGTCACTGCCCTTCTTTAAAGCCAGTGGCCCTGGAAACTAGCAGTTCTTAATTTTTTTTGGGCAATGACAAATTTTTTATCAGCTTTTTGAAATATCAAATAGACAATGATTAATAAAACATTATTGGTGTCATATTTTTATTTTACATTATAATGAATAATCTTCTTGTTACACACGTATGTCCATTAAGCAAACTACTGACTTTTTTGGCAATAACAATTAGGTTGATGACAGGGTGAATGGCTATCTTTTTCCCAAGGAAAACCTCAAGGTTTTGACACAGATTGTATTGCAAGCGATCTCCAAAGGGACATTATCACCTCTAGCTCGTAACATTGCTTCAATAGGAAAAAGTACAGCTAAAAACCTGATGGTTCTAGAAACCATTGAGGGCTATGCTAAACTACTTGAAAATGTTCTCAAGCTTCCATCAGAAGTTGCACTTCCTAAGGCTGTTCCAGAAATTCCTCCAAAACTAAAAAAAGAGTGGTGCTGGAATCTATTTAAAGTATTTCTAAATTCAACACATGAAGACATAACTTTGAAAAGTTCTAGATATTTAAACAAGGTTGAGGAACAGTGGAACCATGAGCAAGGAGAGAGCACTGGTTCAATTGCCGCTACCAATGATTCTTTCTCATATGACATTTGGGAGGAAGAGAAAAATATTCTGATGCTCAATACTAGAAAAAGAAGAGAGGAAGAAGAGGTAAGAGTTTGTGCAGTGATAAATATTAAGAGTAAATTTTGATGGAACAGGTCTTCCTGTTTTACATTATTGAAGTGCATCCTTTGTAAAATCTGACCTTTTTGATATTTGGCAGCTAAAAGATAGAACTGATCAACCTCGTGGAACATGGGAGGAAGTATATAGAAGTGCCAAAAGGGCTGATAGGTCCAGGAATGATTTACATGAACGGGATGAAGGAGAACTTTTGAGGACAGGGCAACCGTTATGCATATATGAACCATATTTTGGGGAAGGAACCTGGTCTTTTCTTCATCTAAGTTCACTTTATCGAGGCATAGGATTGGTGAGTTTGCATCTGTATTTTATACTGGAAATCCGTGTGCACAACATCTCTATTTTTCTCAAAGTTACTTGACTTTTGTGTCCTGTCAGATGATTGTTCCCAACATTATTGACATCACCCTCTTCTAACACGTAGCTTATGGTTAAAAATCTTCTGTGCTGATTATAAAGATTCTACTTTCTGAAGGTGTTAATTACTTGAACTTTCAATCTTAATCTTCCACATTTAGCAAGTTGAGGAAAAGGTAAATGGTCAGGGTATCTTTATTCATGTATCTGAAAGCTCTCCATTTGCATATTCCTCAGCACTATGGTGTGTTTTACCTGCAAAATGATTTTGGTTGAACACTTGCACGAAATCCTTTGCTCATCTCACATTGAAGGAATTTGAAGGCCCTTAGTCGCATATGCCTTTGCGATTGTAACCAAACCATGTGGCACCTTTTATTTTATGGAGCTTGCTTTATACTTCTGCTTGTAGTTGGAATTTATAAATTTGGTTTCCTTCCTGATTTTGTATACTGACTATGGTTGCAGTCCACAAAAGGTCGAAGACCCAGGACAGATGACATTGATGCACCCTCCCGTCTGTCACTTCTCAGCAACTCATACTATCGAGATGCCCTAGGTGATTATGGAGCTTTTTTTGCAATTGCAAATCGAATTGACCGTATTCACAAGAATTCTTGGATAGGGTTCCAATCTTGGAGAGCAACGGCAAGGAAGGTATATGATGATTCCCTATTTTCTGTCTACCCTGTATTCTTGCTGTCATGTTGTTTGCTCTGCCCTACATTGCAATTTTAGGATCTGATATTGATCTTTAATCCTGCATTTTTGGTCATTCAGACTGATATTGCCAGAACATGGTCAGATTTGAATCCACTGTAAAATGTGAAAAAGACAAGGTTACTTGCAACCACTTGGGCTTTCTGAGCGCATGTGGCAGTTGCAGAGATCAATTGATGCATCCTATGCAACTATAGTTACAAATGTGATTTGCCTTGCTTCAAAATGAGCTAAATTGATGAAATTTTTTTCTGGGATTCTAGCACCAAATTTCCTCTGGCCATTACCTTTACTATGAGTAGTTACCATTTTGGTTCTCTGAAATCTATGCAAGTAATGAGTTCATTGTTAAACAAATGCAATCTCATAATTAATTTCATACATTTAATGAACTATTTCTTATTCTGGGGTATAAACAGGCATCTTTGTCTAGGATTGCTGAAAAGGCATTGATAGATGCTATTGAAACACAAAAGCATCGGGACGCACTTTACTTTTGGGTCCCCATGGACATGGATCCAAGAAGTCACTTAACAAGGGACTTTTGGTCTTTCTGTGATGCTATAAATGCTGGAAATTGCAAGTAAGAGCTATGCTGTTTTATCAAGATTTATCATGTGAATCTTGACAATTGCGCTCCTTTCTCATTTGCATTCTTCTAGCTGATTTCCACCATTTAATTGTTGGTGATTGAAGGTTAGCTTTTTCCGAGGCTCTTAAGAGGATGTACGGCATCAAGCATGATTTGGATTCTTTACCATCCATGCCTGAAGATGGGGATACATGGTCTGTCATGTTGAGTTTTGCTTTGCCAACAAGGTCCTTCCTGGAGTTTGTAATGTTTTCAAGGTGTGATAAGTTGCGTTTGTTGGCTTTAGGAATTCAAAAATTCAAAGTGTAAGCTGGTTCAGATGCTGATTTGAACTGTTGAGTGCAGAATGTTTGTGGACGCATTGGATGCACAGATGTATGATGAGCACCATCAAAGTGGGCGATGTTATCTGAGTCCAGCTAAGGTAACTTCGAGTTCATTTGATGAGTTTTCTGTGCTGCAAGCATGTAACTTGTCTGTTCTTGGAATTTAGTTTGGGGACTAGTATGAGTTGAGTCTAGGTTTTCAATGAGTTCACCTGTAGAAACTCTGCAACCCCAAGTGCTAGACAACAGTTTCAACTGAAGCTCAGTTTACCCTTCAAGTTTATGATGAATAACTACAACCATACCATTCACCTCACTTGGTGCTCAATCGGCTGGCAAATTCTGTTTTTGGGAGATGCTGCTTGAACAGTCAACTAGGCATTTTAAATTCCCTCAAAATTGACAGATAGATCTGCAGTCCTTTTGATAACCGCAAGACCCTTTTTTTTTTTTTTTTCCTTTTATGTATTGCAGGATAAGCATTGCTACTCACGGGTTCTTGAGCTGCTCATAAATGTCTGGGCATACCACAGCGCAAGACAGATGGTGTACGTGAATCCTGAGACTGGCCTGATGAAGGAGCAACACACAGTCAAGAGCCGCAGAGGCAAGATGTGGGTTAGATGGTTCTCATACAGCGTTCTTAAGAGCATGGATGAGGACTTGGCTGAAGAGGCAGATTCTGATCGGCCCAAGAGAAGGTGGTTATGGCCTTCAACGGGTGAGGTTGTATGGGAAGGTGTATATGAGAAAGAGAGGAATCTACGGAATCATCAGAAAGAGAAGAGGAGACAACAAAGCAAGGACAAACAACAAAGAATGAGGAAAAAACACCGTCAAAAAGTGTTGGGAAAATACGTGAAGCCCCCACCAGAAGACATAGAAAATTCAAACTCTACAATGTCTACGTCAGAAACTTTATAGCATTAAGTTCACCCGTCCGACTATGGCCAGCATTTGGAGGTGGAGTCTAGCTCGATGATTCTTTTATATTTGATTTTTCCTCTTCAGTTCTTATTTGGCAAAAGGGATGCATGTGTTTGTATCTTTTTCATGAAGGGGTTTGTATTTAACTAACTGCATCCCTACGTCATTAGTGTTTGTGAGTGTATCAAATGTATACTAATTTTCCTGTTCATTTCATTTTTTTCACCCCATTGTAGAAGCTATTACATTCATAACCACAATGAAAGAAGAATTGTGTTGAGTATTTGTAATTTCAATAACTCATTATACTCCCATCCATGTTCCGCTGTCTTGAGAGCTTAATATACTCGCCAGATCACATTAGCAATAATTATAAGCTCATCAGCCTTGTCTTCCACATCGACCTCTGGATAGAAAATATAATCAGGCGACATTTGACCCGACCTTCAGATAGAAATTATAATCACGCGGTATCACCAAATTCAGGAACACAGCTAAGCTTCAGAAGGGTTAAACACCAATACAGGATTCAGACTGTAAGCATGATATAGGGCAATGAAACAGAGAGTGAAAAGGCTAAAATCAGTTGCATAGCGGGGAGTATTTCCTCTCATCACAGAAAAGAAACAAAATTGCAACCCTCATTTGGAGGGAGGAAACAACTACACCCAAGAGTGTCACCGCATGGTAAACGACATCAATTACATCTCTAGAAGGTGGGGTAAATAACATTCAACATCCTCAGGCAAAATCCTCTGTTCTCCCATTCTGGAAACTTATCAATACCTTGGAGCTGCAGCAGAAGACACAAGTCAGTCATGAAATCAGTCCAATCAATATCACCAGAGAATATTTACCAAATTGATGTTTCTACTAAACATGAGTCACGGGGACCTACCTCCACCTACTGTTGCTTCAGGCAACCGCTCAATTGAGTATTTGTGTTGAGTAATGTACATGATGGGCACACCAGGGATCTGCCACCAAGCAAGCAACTTCATATCAGAACCAATTTCATTTCAAATGCACAGGAAGAGAGTATTCACTTGAAGGTACCTTGCGGATCCTCCGCTTTAAATCTCGATCACATGTAGCAACAATATAGCATTTATGCTGTTCCCAAACAAATGATCTGGTTAGTTACATTAAAAAAACATGTTGAATAAACTGCAAATTAATTATCATGAAAGGCAGTATCCATAAAGTAAAATACTTTGAAATAGAGTCACATAAAGGATTATTCCTTGCAAATGGCCACTATTTTGTACTTTTTTTCTTCAAATAAAGATTATTGTTTTTCATAGAACAGAAAAAAAAGATGGACATGAATATTTAAAAGAATAATTTTCTTTAACTTCTGTAATTGCGCACACACTGCAAGGATTGGCTACTTTTTCCATTGTTACTGTCAAATAAATGGCAAAACCTATAAATCTCGTTTGATCCTTGTGCTCCTAGCAACATGAGGTACCATGTTTGCTAAATCCAACCCGTAGGGTTTAAAACAGGTTTGACCCTTATGCTCCTAGCAACATGAGGTACCATGTTTGCTAAATCCAACCCGTAGGGTTTAAAACAGGTTTGACCCTTATGCTCCTAGCAACATGAGGTACCATGTTTGCTAAATCCAACCCGTAGGGTTTAAAACAGGTTTGACCCTTATGCTCCTTGCAACATGATGTATCATGTTTGCTAAATCCAAGCCATAGGGTTTAAAATAAATGGTCACATTCTATTTCTATTAGTTAGCAAGTGGTTAGGGTGTTTTCCAGACTAGTGGGAAGTGGTGGGAATTTGTTGTAATCCAAACCATTCATTTGAAGTTAACAGTCCATATTTAATGAAAATGAAAGATCATCTTCCTGGCAAATTCAACTTAGCAAATAACTGGCTAATGCTTTTTAGCTTTGTATGATGAGGAGGGGGAGTTATCTCCAAGGTGGTTACTATTTTGAGAAAATAACACTCAACATGAAGAGTAGGCCAAATATATTCGCGTCAGATTTGTACCTTGGTAACCCTTTCAACAATACAATCATCAGCATAAGTTCCCTTGTGAACACAGGGTAGTCTCTCAAAACGTGGATCCTTAGCAATCCTGTTCAGACACAAACATCCATCATCAAAATTCTTGTAAATAAATGAAATTTGAACAGTAGTGAAGGTTGTTGGCCTCCAAATTACAAAAAGAAATAACATTGTGGATGTATACTATTAAGTGACAAAATTTACAAGCAGATTAGAACCACTTCCATAGACACATTCAACAACCTAGACTCTTGATGCAAAAAATAGCAGGTAAAAAAATATCAATTGCAAAACTCAGCAACATGAAATCATACCTTAAAGCCACACGGTACTTCTGACCTAACTTCTCAAGTTCTGCCATCACACAGTCTGTGATACAAGGTGTGCCTTCAAATCCAAAAAGTGGAAGTTATCGATAAACAAGCTATACAAATCCAAAAACTGAAAGATATCAACAAACAAGCAGTAAAAAGAAGTTCCGGACTTCATCTCATTCCCTAGCCAGTCTTATTACTCAGACAATTGAGATATTATTTAAATCAAAAGCATATAAATTAGAGCTACTAAAAAAAAAAGAGCAGAGGCTAGCGAACACACATTTCGCATACAAGCAGTCCAGCATCGCCTTCTCTAAATCCAACTACAAATGGAAAACCAGAAAATCGTAAGGGCCAAAATTTCAATTCCGTGGGCTGAGCCTACAGCAAGTTTAAGTTGACCTTTGCAATTTTTGAATCAAAACCAGATGGAAGTAAAAATTGGCAATTGCATTTAACACTAACTTTATTCTGAATAGAGAAATTGATGAAGTTGGTATCCACCAAAACCCTGTATGGCGGCCCCAATGCTGTGTTGTATGAGAAGAAGAGAGCTGAAGAAACCTGTGGACTGTACAAATAAACAAAAGAGAAGAGGGGTGGGGGGGCGTTACTTGAGCTCCAAATGTTTTTTTACTTTACTTGCTAGAACAAAAAACAACAATCATAGCAATAGTTATAAACATAAAAGCTTACACATTTCTCGGGAGCTTTTCGAGGGACAAATCTTTTTTCTTTGGATCCAAGACTTCTTCTTTATGTCTAGTAAGGGATTAAGCAGCAAAACTAATTAAGCAGAGAGCTAACATTAGAGAGGGAACTAAAATAATAAGAGAAAGAAACAAGTGCTTACTGTTTAATTGCTCTAGAGGTAATCATCTTCTTCATTTTTGCAAATTTCGGGCCTTTTTTGGCTCTCCCCATCGCGACGTTTGAAGAGTATAAATCCTAATATAGAGGGAGAGGTAAGAAGAGACTGTTTTTGCAAATTCCAACTCACTACCCCTTCCAAAAAAGATACTTATGCTGTTTGGCTCGCTAAAGTACTTTCAGTTTGGTCGATAACATACGCAGAGAGTGATGGCCTGATATTAGAAAATCTGACAGCAGCCTTTTTTTTGGGACGGGGACGGTGACGGTGAAGGAAAAAAATCAAAAGAGACGCCCGCCGCAGGGCATTTGTTTAACCTGGAAGATGTATATGAGCCGGAACTGAGTCCAGCCCAGGTTCCTTATTATATTGGGCTTCGTAGGATATTGAATCCAGCCCATTTTCCTTATTATATCGGGCTTCAGAGGATATTGAATCCAGCCCAGATAAAAAAATCTTTTTTTTTCCTTTTACTTCTAGAACGAAAAGCCTTTCTTTTTGTTTATTTTGATTGGTGCTGTTTATATATATATATATATCGTGACATAGTCTTTTGATTTTTATGATATTAATCAGAACTTCCATACAATATTTTTAATAAAAGAAATCCAACGGTTCATAACATGCAAGGATTAGTTCTAAGAAATTAAACATTGTTCGTAATTGGAGAACAATATCCATTTCGATCATCATGGTGCTGGTTCCAAAGCATTAGACCTTTATATTTATTTATGTTTTATTTGAAAATATAATTGTGATTACTTTTTAAATAATTTTTTGTATAAAAATATATGTTAATACTTTTTTTTATTTTTTAACAATTATTTTTGATACCAACACATCAAAATAATTTTAAAATACTAAAAATATATTAATTTAAAATTAATAAAAAATATAAAAACAAATAAATCGTTAGAACGTTTCCTACATAACCATTGCCTGCAGCCTGTTGAGAAGCTGAAAGTCCAACAAGAACTTCTGGGCCGGAACAAATGACGTCCACTGGTTCCCTGAATCATTAAATTTTTAGGCCCATTTCAAAAATACTTTCTAACAAAATTTAAATTTTATTTATTTATTTCAAATTAATATCTTTTTTTAATATTTTTAGATTATTTTAACATGTTCATGTTAAAAATAATTTTTTAAAAATAGAAAATATTATTTTAATATATTTTGAAATAAAAAATACTTAACCCAAGATTATTTTTTTAAAGCCATCGTCCGTATGGATCAATACTTACGCATACAGGATAGCAATAAGAAAAAGTGGATAACAAAATATATGAGTAGCATATTCATGCTGTTTATTATCGCACAAAATTAAAGTGAGATGAGAAATAAAGCAGCGCAAGCTTCTATCGCCCGTAGTGAAAATCAGAAAGACTGATTATTTGGCTAGATATCATAGATTAAAAAAAAATGTATAGAATAATGGCAAATCCACACAAGCAACTACCGGAGAGAGAGCACCTCCAGCATTACACTGCCATCATGTTTTACGATTAGGGGAGAGGGGAGAGGGTGGTGTTCTGTTTGCTGGGGGGAGAAAATGAAGAGGGTGTTTATTTCTTCGTTAAAAAAACAGTTTTTGAAAATTTTTAATTTTAATTTTTATAATATTAGATTATTTTTATTTGTTGTTGTTTTAAATGAATTTTAAAAAAATAAAAAATATATATTATTTTGATATATTTTTTAATTAAAAAAATATTTTAAAAAAGAACTTGACTTGCAGCCTGTGTAGTTTTGCGGTGATAAAGTATTTTTATATAAATCTAATATTTTAAAATTATTTTAATATATTGATGATAAAAATAAATTTTAAAAAATAAAAAATATATTATTTTTATATTTTTCGGAAAAAAACCCAATCACCCCCTTAATCGTCGTGAGAATAAATGAATCAAAGCTCAATGGGATGGGCTGGGAACTTTAGGCCGACGTGTCCAATAAAACAAAGGATAAAATCTGTTAACTGGATAAACACAATATCTTTCAAATACCAAAGGGCCCACGCAGAATTCTAGTTAAACCGAGCTACATTTGGAATCGCGAAACGTGGACGTCGATAAAAAGGTCTTACGTGGCAAGAAAACTCCAGAGAGTTCACCGGTAGTTGGCGGGGGCGCGCGAAACATCTGGAAGGGAGGAGAAGATGATTTCGACATGTCTTAACAGTTGAAAATACCTCTTGGTAAGTTGGCATATAAAAGGCAATATCTAACACAAGATTAATATCAGGAAAATCAGAAATCAGTTGATAAAAAGAAACACGCTCGCGGTTTCGAGAATTTGAAGCTTTTGTTTTTAGGTTGGTGGGGTGGATTGATTAGCGCTGCTGTGTCAATTGGATTTGTGGAAACGTTAGGCTGGACATTTCGTTTTCTCCTTGTTACTTTGTATTAAAGCTAAAAGAGAATGTAAGTTACTCCTCCTGCTTTGTAGATGATTGCTTGGCTTTGATTTCATAATCTTGTTATCTGTTGATCTGTGGGAGATTTATTGAAATGTAAAGGGATGTTCTTGCTCAATGAATGAATCGATAATGCCAGTAATTTTATACCTTCTAGGAATTATTTCTTTCTACAATTTGTGGATTTACAATGCATCAAGTTGTTGTTAAAAGGTTTTAGAGGATTTCTTAAGGGTTTACATGTGCATAGGTTCTTCTCTGGAACAGCATAAGATTTATTCCATTTTTAAGCTATCGGTTAATAAGAAAATCGAAGACTAAGCATTCAGTATGATGTTTTGAATGTATAAAAGCTGATATTTCTATGAATTCATGCAACTTCTTTATAATTATTACTATTTGTTCTTTTTTCTTTCTATTGCTCTTTGTGTCTGTTGTTGGATATGTCCAGATGGTGGCCTCTGTTCTTTTATCGCTCTCCTTGATGAAAAAAATAATTGTTGGCTCTGTGTCGATGTTCAAGATGATCGTTCATGCTGATCTGCATTTTAACTTTTTCAGTTACATCGTACATCGACCTCTGGTGGTCTTTGAGCCAGGAATTTCAACCTGCTAAATTGCTGCCAAGGCTTCTTGGTTTGGATAAGCTTTACCGAAAATGATGCCTGTGTATAGATACATGGACTCACACCCGATGCGCGGAGACCATGCACCTCCTATGCAGCATTATCATCCAAGCATTGGGGCTGTTTCACCTCATATGCATGTTGATCCATCCAAATCTGCTGCTCCATATGGACTTTGTCCTTATGGGAACATCTTCGGGTACTCGGTTCCATGCCATGCCTGCTGTGGCCATGGTAACTTCACTGGTTACTACGGTCCCATACCTTCTTGTTCTCATTTTCCACCACCTCAATATCAGTGCTATGGATATCCTCCGTATCATGAAACTATGCCTGTACAGTATGTCCCTTCTCCAAATTATTCGATGGAACAGCCAAGACATGAATATGACAAGGTCTTCTCTAGCAACAATCATTGCTGTGGTTGCCGGAGTCGCACCCATGACCAGAAGAGAGATGAAAGTGTGAAGGTGGAGGAGCTGGATCCTGACTCTCAGAAGAAAGAAGGCGACGCCTTGGTTCCATTCCAGGTGAAAAATTACCCGTACCCATTTATGTGGATCCCACCAGACAAAATAAAGAATGAAAAAGATAGAAAACCTGTGGACTCAGAAATGGCAAGCGGGGAGAAGGCTTCACCAGTTATGAAGCCTCCTAAGACTGTAAAGCCACCCGAAGAAAAACCGAGAGTGTGGAATGGCTGGGTTCCTCTTGACTTGAAAAGCTTTGGACCCTTCATGCAAGCTGAAGATCAGAAGAGAACTCAAAATCATCAAAATGAGGACGAATTGCAACAATTTCCATTTCCTATATTCTGGCTGCCACCATACAACAAACTACCCTATATTCTGGCTGCCACCATACAACAAACAGAATGACACTTCCAACAAAGATGGTGCACAGACAATTGCATCTTCAAAACCTGAAGACGAGCCACCTTCTGCGGTCAAGTTCTTCCCAGTGAAACTACCTGGCAGCGGCGATGGCTCTAACAATCTTCTAGAAGGCCAATACAATTCTAGAGACCAAGGAAGTTCAGGGACAGAAAGCACTCCTGTTAAACAAATGGAATTGCATGGGGAGAAGGAAGGGGCTAACCAGAAAAGCATACCAGTGCAGCAAATGGAAGCATTTAGGGAGAAGGAAGATTCTGAAGGCATGGGTAAGAGAGGTAGAACTGCCTCTTTGAAAAATGCAGAAGGTAACCCAACCGGTAACTCTTCTGAGACCTGTGCAAAAAGACAATCCTTAGCCTCCCCAAAGGCATCGAAGTTACCTCCTGTTTGTTTAAGAGTTGACCCATTGCCTAAGAAGAAGAATGGAAATTCAGGCTCAAGGTCTCCTAGTCCTCCAGGGTCAAAAGGTCAGCTGCAGGAGGCATCAAAGGACACTTCTAAACCTTCTGCTTCATCAGGTTTAAAAGCAAATATTCATCATGACCCACAAGTTCAGAATGCCGCTCTAAGTAGCGGCAAGGAGTTAGAGGCAAATAAAAGAGGTGGGAAAATCATAGAGGTCGTAGAGAGGGGACGTATTGAAAACAAGGATGGCGAAGCAAGGAATGAATCTCGAACTCAGACTCCCGTTGCCTTAACAGATGTTCAAAAGGAGGTCTTAAGAAACCCAAAAGCAGAGGAAGCTGAAACTCATGATGATAAATACGTGAAAAAAGAGGAACAAGGAGCAAGAGATGCTAAAGATTTGGCAGCTGGTGAAGCAACCAAGTCAAAGGAAGTAACAGATGCAACCAGATCAGCAATTGATGAAAATAAAGAACAGAGAAAGAACTTATCAGATGAAGCAGCCGCCTTGCTTATACAATCAGCTTATCGTGGGTTTGAAGTGAGGAGATGGGAACCTTTGAAGAAATTAAAGCAAATTGCTAAGGTCCAGGAGCAGGTAGTTGTGGTTAGAGATAAGATTTATGCTCTCGAGTCCTCTTCTGACCTCCAGAAAGATGATCAGCAAAGGGCAGTCATTGGAGAAATGATAATGAGCCTTCTGCTGAAATTGGACTCTATCCAGGTACGTATGCATGATGCAACTATCAATGACTTCTTGCTCTTGAAGCGTTTGCACAAGGAAAGGAAAATTTGAATTTTCTGTGCATAATACAAGTTATCCAGGAGGATTGACTGTGCAAATGCCATTTGTTTGCTTAGCAGCAGTTATGTGTCCAATTATTACTAGGCATAGCAATGAGTAGTACGATGAGCAACTTTTTGTGTGGCATTTTGTCTTGTAGAACTTTGGAATTGTT